AATTAGTTCAAACTGCAACTGAAAATATTTATGAGGTAGCTAACTACCTATACGCGTCTCCTCCGCTCGCTTCATGCGCCCGTCTGGCCAGAAAACACCGCTCTCCTTCCGCGAGCCGCGCTCCTGCACCTCGCAAAAACGCTCCCTGTCCCTAAGCCACTCATTCCAARCCCGCATCCAAGGCCAGGACTTGTTGCATCCCTTTTAGAGTTTGATTAATTACCCTGGAACTTAAGCAAACTCAACTACATGTGGCGAGGCAGCCCGTGCCTGCAGTTCTGTCCTGAAGCCTAGCAGTTCCAGAGGCATTTTGGATATTTGCATGCAAATTGGAACCAATCTCTCTGCGCCTTTAAAAGGTATAGCTGTATAAATATATAGAAGTATCAATTTTTCTTTAGCTTGAAGATGTTGATCATTTATTACAAAAATAAACGAATAAATACAACAATATATTGTTGCTTTCAACAGGATAAATATTTTACAAATATATATTTTTTAAAAAAACAAATTTAATTGTTAAAATTATTTAAAATATTACACTTACTGATAAAATTATCAATAGTATATACTGCATTTCATATTAGAACCAATTATTCTCTAAACGTTCCATTTAAAACCATTCATACAAAGCAAGTTATGAGCATTGCAATGTGCAAACACGAGTCAAACTACATTAAAGCATAAGGATTTTTTTTTTTTTTTTTTAAGATCACTTCAGATATGAACCGCTGTGTTTATAAACCAAGGTAGAACTAAATCCCGGAGAATACGCGGGTCAACAGCAGCGAGATGACTATTTTAAATACACCTGAAAATGATTTATTGTGTACAGACTAGACGGGAGAAGGATCTCATGTGAGTGAGAAGCCCAGGGCGTAGTAGGGGAGCTCAGGATAGGAAAATGTAAACTATAAAATAATCACATCTCGAGATTACCGAGACTGACTGAACACAACTTTGTAAAACATTTGGCTTTCCTTTAGGTAGGGGGTTAAAAATGAATAAGGAATAAGGAAAATGGTGCCGACTTAGTTACCAAGCACAGAACACTGATATTATAAATGAATACAATTACTAAATTCATTAAGAGATCTGGCGATATATAACAATATTTTCATTATTTACACGTGTAACAATATAACCCTTAACGCGAAACCGCTCAATTTTTATCTACCGCTTGTTATCTCATAGACTCACAACCCTGAAATTCCTAAATACATTCAAAGGATTCGGTTTCTTGGGGAGGAGGGGGAGCGACCACGGCCTCACTTTTGTGCATAATAAGGACGTAGAATGGRCGCATTTTGCCAGTCCCTACAACCAAATGTTACTCCTCCATCCCGAAAACCAGCTTTTCTGACACAGAAAACCGCAAAGGTTGCCTTTTAATAGGAAACAGTGTGAAGCCTAATGTTAGCTCTTTGTTGCCATCCAAATCCAGTAACCAAATACCACTAAGAAATTTAAATAGACCTTCTCCATGTCTAATAAACCGCTGCCCTTCATGTGTGAAAAATAGGATCCCGCCTCACGTGTTGGAGCCCCCGCCGCAGAGCCCGACCCGCCGCTCCCGACCTGCGCCTCCTTCCCGCAGCCCAATCCATGTGCAGCCCTTTCCCCTCCCAAATCGCCAAAAGGAGCGAGAAGCTTTCGCTTAAAACCAACAAAAGAGAGGGAGCGTCTTTTACCCTTTCGTTTCTTTCTTTCTTT